AGCCCAACCAAATCCAGGGAGGGAGGGGGGAAACAACCCTCTCACATTGTTTTGGGAGTTGCTGCACCTCTCTCAAGCCACAAAAGCAAATACAGTTCTGCTATTCATTTCCACATGCATGATAGAACAATAGAACTCAAAGCATTTTACATTGCATCTTAAACTCCATTATAAACGTAGAGCATCAAAAAAGAATAGTCGGATTCTAAACTAAGCATAAAAAAAGAATAGTGTATATTTCCTGTTTATGCAAAAAAATGTATTGATCAACTAGCTTCCAACTAAGCATTCCATCAAACTGATCAAAATCACGTACTTAAATATAAAAGTGTGGATCTTAGAAGACAAAGATATCATTAAAACCGTAAGCTAAGAAAGATGCAAAGAATGCTAAATTTAAAGAACAATAAGGATGTAACTTCAGCTCATTTCATTTTATTAAGAAACTTCAGTTCATTTTAATCACACTATGAAGTCCTGAAGCAAGAATACCTAGCAACCAAGCAAGAGTACCGAGCAACAGAAGTCCTGAAGCAAGAATACCGTGGTCCGTGTCGATCTAACACCGACTCACCGATGAAAAATACCTTTTATCAAAGGAAAATAGAAGTAGAGATTAGAGAACAAACACAAAAAATCAACTCTAAGCTCTCACCGAGACAAATATTTTTGCGATCGTTTAGCAAACCGAAGCTTTTCGCGATTAAGAAGATGGTTCTCGCAGTCAAGCTTTTCACGATCTTGAGAGAAGGAGGAGAAAGATCGGCCGAGTCTCGTGCTTTAGAGATGAGAGCGCGTGAGATGAGAGAACGGCAGCGCTGAGAGCGGCGAGAGCCGAGAGGGAAAAAAGGGAACGGGGTTACGGCTAGGGCTTCCGCTCGGTGGGTACTGGGTAGGGTAAGTATTAAGGATTTTTTTTCATTTCTTTTATATATTATAATATAAATATTATAATATAATATATTATAATAATTATATATCTTATATTATATAAATATATAATATCTATATTATTAGAGTCTAGAGAGTATGTAAGCGTATTATTATTAATAATTTATTTTACATTATAATTTACAGATTTTAAATTTTAAAATATATTAATTTTTTTAGTATATAATTATTTTAAAAATATCAAAAATTATATATATATATATATAATTTTTTTTTATTTCGAACAATAACGATTCGAACACGAACGAACGCATCACTGTTCGTGTTTGGTTCGTTTAGCAAACCGAACGAAAAAAATTGTTCATGTTCGTCTCGTTTGCTTATCGAACGAATCGAACACGAACGCTTTGGCGAATCGAACACGAACTGTTCGCGAACAACGAGCTCTTTTGACAGCCCTAGGTGGGGGAACACTATTGTACCCTTGCACGTAAATGAAAAAATAATATTGATATTGATGTGTCTTAATTGATACAATTTTTAGATGGTGTCTCCTGTGACGGTTGTATAGATATGAAATGAAATTTATATGATAAATGATAATGATATGGATCCCTTTGAATAACATGTCAAATATTTATATTGATTTATAAAGAAGCTTAACTGATATGCATATTATTATTTATTTTCCTTTTATTGTTGTAGTTTAGAAGTATGAGTATTTACTGGCTCGTTTAGCTCATTATTTTTTAAAACTAATTTTTCGGGTTAATTAAGCAATTAACGATGAGCGTTAGAGGAACTAATGTTTATAAAACACACAGACAATTGGTAGCGAGGTAACATTACATATATTACTTTAATTTATTTTGATTAGTTGCTATTTCATTTGTTAAATTGTTGATGAATATAGAAAATTTAAATCACACCGTCTGACCGTCTGTACCAACTTTTGTTAATTTCAAGCCTTGAGCTGGGTCGTGACAATAGCACTTATGATAAGATAAATAATGAATAGAAGGTCGTAATGCACTTACTTTCATCACTTTTTAAGAGATATTGGCATATATTCATCACCACCATTTCTATTACCTTTGTCTTATGGAATTCCATTGTTTTCAATTATCATTTTGCTTTTGACGTGCAGTAGTGCGTCCCTCTAAAGTTTTTTTTTTAAATTTCTTTTATACTCAACTTGAAAGTCTTGCCTTTTTGGGCAACTCTCATTGCTTCAAAAGTATTTATGTTGATGGCATTATTGATTGGTTTATGGAGGATGGTAGTTGGTCTGGAGAAGCATCCAATGTATAATGGCTAGTATATATGATTCATGGTTTGGTAGGGATAGGGGGACTGGGAGAGAGTTGAAAGGATCCTAATGTTTCTCTTGAAATGGAATTTCCCTCTAAATGAGAGGTAGAGGTATGAAATGATCGGTGTTTTAAGAATGTGACATCAAGAGAGGCAAAAAATTATTTAATAGCTTAAAAAATATTTGTAGCCCTTCTTTATGGTAGAGTAGCCAAGAATGCTGCATTATTTTGCTCTAGGAGACTATGAGACCATTTTCCATTAGCTGGATTATTAGAATGTATGAAAGAAGACGTCCTAAGAATCATGAAAGAAGATAGGTGAACAACTGTGTTTAAGGATATCTCTGAAGTAAAAAAAAAAAGAATATAGTACAAAAAGGTATTCATTTCTCTATTTTTGAAACAGCCGAACACAACTCTCTCCAAGAGAATCTAGAATAAATATAGCGGGCAGTAGTACTCGAGCACTTATAGAAGGCCTTGATTTCTCTATTTTGCATCCCCATTTTGTTTGTGGTTTTGAACACAAGAATTATTATGAACAATATTATGACCCTGAAGATGAGTTTCAAGAATCAACTTGAATTATTCTCAATCATCATCAATGTGAGTGATATTAATTTGATTTGGATGGGTTTGTGAAAATTTGGGAAGGCATCTTTAAGTTTTTCTTTTAAGTGATAAAACTGTTGAACTTTTAAATGATCATCAATAAATGTGATAAAATGTTATATTTCATAAATATTTGGTACCCTTGAGGGGCTCGAAATTGAGGATATGGCATTTTGAACTAAAGAAAATGAGAGGGCGGGCTCATAGGGAACTCATATATTTGGAACATGAGTATATTTGGCACTCAAAGCTTGAGTACTAATTACTGCGGATAGTAATTTCCTTTTTAGGCTACACAATGCCTGAGGGGATGTGGATAGAACTGATGCACATAGATACATCTTAGATTGTTTGAAGAAGGTTAATGATCCAGGTTATTTGGATTTCTTATTGCAAATCTACGATAAAAAGTCTCGCACACAGTCAAATTTGTATTTTGCATACTTTTAATTTTTTTCAATTACCTGTTCTTTTGATGGAACTAAAAAAAATATGTAAATTTAGTCCATATGATTGTTTAATAGCTTATATTAGAACACAGTGAAATTTAGAACCATGAAATTATACGTTTGATTGGAAATCACACAATAATCAAAATTCAAATTTAAGTCGTAGAAAATTTGACAAAAATCTTGTAGCTCAAATGAGATAGGATATTTTTTTAAGTTTTTCATGGCTATTACTCATTATACAATTATTATTTGAAGTGAATGAAATGTCACGGTGAATGTAATCCTTCAAATTATTATTATTATTATTATTATTATTTTATTATTTACTTATTATAGAGAAATAAATCAACATATTTACTAATTTTCCTCTTTTGGCCCCTTTTTTCATGCAAATTTTTTAGCCTCTTTCTGCTTCTACTCAATTTCTTTCTTCTTCATAGGAAAGGATGACTGCTAGTCTTTTGCATCATCAACATTATCAGTTTTTTCGGCTTCTTATTGATCAAAATAATTAAGTCAAATCTGCCATTTTTCCTAACTCAACTCCTTTTCCGTTCAAGTTTTTTTATTAATCTGAGGCCTCCTTCTTCATAAGAAAACATAGAAAATTGATTTCAAGTGTACATGCTATGAAGCATTTGTCTGATTTTAAGACTTTTACTTAATATTATTGCTATTATTTTTCTTATTAAATGTTTAATAAATTGTTCCTCCATTTTCTTAGGAAATAGAAGTTGGAAATAGAAGTTGGAAGGCTCATTATTTTTTTGAAAATTCTAATTTTGGACGCTTGTTTTTATATGTAATGCATTTTATTGTTATTTTTTTCTTAAGAAATTTTATTATATATTGTTAGCATATAAGGATTAAATATGTTGCTAGAGTGACCTTATAACTTATTTCATGTAATTTCTCATTAGGGCTATATGTGATGTGTTTTTGAGAAATTAGTGCTGTAAAAAGTTGCCATCATCTCAAATTTTGCATCTCACCTAGGAGTTATTGGGCTTTGGCAGTCAAGTCCTTGATGGTTCCTTTTACTTCAAAATTTTAATGGGTACATTTTTTAGCTTAATATATTATATTATTCCCTTTCACTTTAATAGGCGTTTTTTTAGTTTATAGGCCATAATATGAAATAATTTGAGGAATGTTCCTTACTAACCAGACGTACTCTAGGTTCATTGTTACATTCTTGTCTTTTGGCTTTTCCATGCTAGAGGTATCAACCAGCTTGCTTAATGTTTTTTTGAAAAAAAAAAAAATTATCATTTGAAGCTTCACGTTACTAAAACAGTGTGCGTTTTGTTAATAAGGGTTTGTTTGGGATCAGTTTTATTTTTTAACTTTTGTTTTGTTTTTGTTTTTATTTTTAAAACATGTTTGTTTAATATATTTTTTTGCATGTATTTATTTTTTTGTTTAAAAGAAAATTTTTTTTTTTAAACAGTCAAAATATTTAAATGGTGTTTTGAATGTTTTTAAAAATAATTGAACTTGTTAACAAACATGTTTTATTGCTAGTAAAAACATAAACAAAATAGAATATATATATATAAACACAAAAATCGAAGTGATACCGTATGTTGGTTGCAGCTATATATGTTGTAATGAATAGTATTCAATGCTTAATTTGTTAAATTTTTCCTTTTTATTTAGTTTACCTTTGATGCTTATATTTTGGTATTTATTGATGTAAGAATAATTTAATTTTTCTTTGTTTTTGCTATAGGTGGCTTTCAGAACAGGCGATTTCAATCAGCAGGTCATTTTTCTTGGTGGATTAACTGATGGGCTTTTGGCAACAGAGTATGTTGGTTGCAGCTCTTCATGTATATATCTCTATATGTTTGTATCACTCACTGCCTAACTTTGTAATTATGTATTGGGATTTGTATTTTGAAATTCCTTTTTTGAAGATATATTGTTAAAAAATCTTTCTTCAAAAACAATGTGAACAAGAAACCCTGTAGATGAGATAAAATAGTCTGAGAGCTCTAGGATGAGCTGCTTGAGAGTTAAAACCAAGGATACCCCACTATATAATGGATTAATGAAGATTTGAAAAGTTATCTAAAGGAATTTGGATTATGTATCTTAGTGATCTTATTTTGAAATTTAGTTGGCCTGGATGCAGATATTATTTTCTCCAACCTTTGGATATTGCGTTTTATATGTGACATGTAAGTTAGAATAATATAGAAAAAGTTCGGAATATAAGAGTTTATGATTAGTAGAATAACAGCTGCTAGACATTTCAGTTGTGGTGAGGATATTAATGATGAATAAATAATGAACGCTAATCTATAAGAACCCAAGATTGATAGCTTTTGATTTCTTATATTTTAAATTGAATATGTTGAAGTGGTTATAATTAGTAAAATTAAACCTAGTTGGTTAAGATTGAAATTTGCCTTAAGGATATTTTGTAATAAGAGAACGTTATGGTGATACAAAGGAAAATATCATAACATAGCAATAAGAGCATTGTATTAATGAAACCGAGTGTTGGGAAATAAATAAGTGCATAACAATGAAGTAAAGTGTGTTAAATTGAAAATGCTGTGAGGAAAGTATGATAAAGCTAGAGAGTATGTAGGTATAAAATGATTTTATAATTGATCTATGTGGCAACAACTTCAAAAATAATTTTCCTAAGGGAAAGTCAAGATTTAATCAAAGTTTCTAGATCCTTTTAAAAGCTTCCTGAAGTATATTGAGGCTTTGGAGGATCCTATAAACGTCCATGTCATCAAGAGAATATTCTTTGAGTAGTTTATGAAATATAAACTCAAGTTTGTCGCAGAGGGGCCCTCCACCATATTAGGAACAATCCAAAACGAAAGCTTTGAAAGTGGAGAGCGAAGAATCAAACATAAGATGTGAAATTTTTCATAATCAATCTCATGGCCAACAATATCAATCAAATTATATTGGATTCTCCATTCAAAATTACTTATCTTACGTTTAGTTTTGTTGTTTCATGCATTAGTTACTAGTTTTTTTTTATTTTAAATATAATTGCATTTTAAATTTTTTTTTCTATATTTGTTTTTTTATTTTTTCTAGAAAATGGGATCATGCACTCAATCATGGTATTAATAAAAAAGTTGAACACAATTAATCCTAACCTTAGTCATCTGTTTTCCTTTGTTTTGTTACGTTGTTGATGACTTATCTCCTCCAAAATAATAACTAAAATTGAGAGCATAATCTATGTCGTTCGCTATCTAATTTCTTCTTATAGCGCATTCTACCTGCTTTTCTTCCTCAACATACTCAAGAGCTAAAAGAGGGGCTTTACAATATTTATGACGCAGAAGTGGACTCCTTGGCGGGAGCGGGGTCTTCCGCGACGGGAATTTCTGCTAGTGAACCGGCGACCCAATTGCGGCCGGTCTAGGGTAAGCACATGTCGAGCAGCCTTGGGGCAGGATTTTGATGGGGCGGGTCGCCCCTCTCCTCGTTCCTTTCTGGTTGCCGCCCAAAGGGGGAAATCCTCTCTTCCTATTTAATTTATTAGCTATTATATATGTGTTGTTTTGCTTGTTAGAGTTAGTTTTTGTTGTGTTTTACTTTCATATTGTTTGTGTGGAGAGTTTTCTCTGTTTTAGGGTTGTATCTGATGAGTTTGTGGTGCTCTGGTTATATCCTCCTCCAAGGTGGCGTTGTATCATTTCTTTTTACCATCCCTACTCCTCTCCTCTCCAGCAGCTACTAGCCTCCCCATTCTTCATCTTCGCACCCAGCCACCCTTCCCCCAACAACTTACTCTTGTTGTCCAACTCCCCGGACATCACCCTAGCCTTCAACCGTCCCGTCCCTACAGTCCAACATCGTTTTCCCCCTCCTCAGCCATCATCCCAGCCTCGGTCACTGCTATTTTGCAGCAAAACCTGCTGCCCAACCGTCTATCATTGTTGTGCCTATGGTTCTGCACTTTCCCCTTGCTGCCACCACCCGTGCTAACCATCCCGAAACGCCTAGCCGACTTCCACCGCCCTTTGAATATACCTTAGAGGTGTTTGCTTATGTTGTACATATTTTGTGTTGTTTTTTTCTGTTTTATTGTGTTATAACCCTCTCTCAATTTCAATAAAAGTTTGTTTTGTGTGTTTCCGTTGTTTTTCCCACTTGGTCCGGTATCATATGATATCGAAGCTAGCCTAACCCTAGTCCTATCCTAGGGTTTCCTAGCATCCGCCATAAACCAAAAATTTTCTTTCTTATCACCGAATATCCTCAACCCAAACCTTAACCCACCAAAATTTTTCTTTCCTATTCCTTAATCCTTAGTCATGCAACCCAGGAGATACATGCCCGAACCTACCCGGGAAGAGATAAGGCGGGAGCTCCGTCACCTTCAACAAAGGCTTGCAGAGATTGAATAATTAATACAGAGAAGTTACCTTCAACCGAGATTTGGAGAGTCAAAGAGGAGAAAGAGATGAGGATTTGAATCCCTTCCATTGGGATAATTTCAACGACGAAGAAGATAGGCCACGACGATTCAAAATCCAGTATCAAAGGAAGCCTAGAGAGAGATATCCGAATCTTCCTCAGAGAGAAACTTGCAGACAGGAGATATCATTTGGACGACATAGAGACTTCGACATCAAGGTGGACCTGCCAGAGTTTGAAGGAGCTATGGATCTTGAGGAATTCATTGATTAGTTATAGGTTGTTGAGTGGATCTTTGAGTATAAAGATGTGTCAGAGGATAGACGGGTCATCAAGTTGAAGAAGAGTACTTCTCTGTGTTGGGAGAACTTAAAGAAGCAGATGAAAAGAGAGGGTAGCGACAAGATTATCAAGTGGGAGAAGATAAAGAAAGTAATGTAGGGGAAATACCTCCCTCCCCATTATTGTCAGGATATGTTTCTGAGGCTCCATCACCTGCATCAGAGGGATTTATCAGTAGAAAAGTTCACAGAGTAGTTTGATAATTTGCAGATGAAGTGTGATCTGACGAGACCAGACGAGAATACAGTAGCTAGATATCTTGAGAGTATGAAATCTACTATTAGTAATGTGATGCAGCTACAACCGTACTGAATGCTGGGGGATGTCCAGGCATTAACCTTCAAGGTGGAAAGACGACAGAAGTAGAGTCGACAATAATTATCCTTCGGCCAGCAACCTTCAGGCAAATAGTCACCCATAGTTACCATGACCGACAGAGGTAGCCCAGGAGACACAGGAAAGGGTCGGGCAAGGGAGTGACACTCCAGGTTAGAGCTGGAAGAAGCAGGAGAAAGGTAGCTCTTCCAACACCGCAACTGTCAGGAAATGTTGTCGATGCCACGATTACGGCCGCATAGCTTTCAGTTGTTCCACTATCAGGGTAGTCACACTCATAGATTAGAGCATTATGGAAAAGGTTAGCAAGGAGGAGAAAACTGAAAACTAGAGTGAGATACATCATCTTTCCCCATATTAGAGAGGCACTCGTAGTTCGACGGGATATTGACATGAGGGATTCGCTGCTTTGCAACAATATTCTCTACACCCGTTGTACAGTGAACGAAAATATATGCAGTCTTATCATCGACGGTTGGAGCAGTAAAAACGAGACATCAACTTAAATGGTAGAGAAATTGGACTCACTGACATGCCTGAAGGAGGAGAATTGAATCAACATCGACAGGAGATTTTGGTAGAGTTCTCGGTCGGAAGCCAGCTGCATGACCAGGTGTGGTGTGGTATGGTTTCTATGGATGTCTGCCACCTTCTGTTGGGACGACGTGGCAGTTTGACTGGAGGACTCAGTACGATGGATCTAAAAACTCTTATTCATTTACCAAGAAGGGGAAGCACACCATTCTACTTTCTTAGACAGAACCTTAGATCATAGGAACCCTTAACAACAGAGCGGTGTCAGTGGGGCCAGTTCTAGTGATGATACAAGATGAAAGTATTGAGACACCAACTTCAAACACGGGACAGTTATGTCAGAGATGAAGTCAGGGCCTCATGGTCGACACCATACTACAAGCTCCACCACCGTACGGGAAGATGCAAACTACTCTCACTACACATCAGACTGACCTGAATGTGGATTACTTTGGGAGGATCCAACAGTACAAGCATGGGCCACAGTCTCAGGAGAGCGGATCAAATGGGACATGGGTGCGCAAGTGGTGTCGACTTCTTCAATGCTTTGGCCAACAGTGCAACTGAAAGTGGGACCCAAGTGCCATCAGGATTGAAGACAAGAACCAGAAGCTTCAAAGTATGAGGTCGAAGCTCCCCCAATATTGGGAGACTTACGGGGGAGTGGCGTCTCCCGCGGCGGGAATTCCCACTAGTGAACCGACCGGCCCAATTGAGGTCAGTCCAGCGTAAACCCAGGCCAGGCGGCCTTGAGGCAGGATTTTGATGGGGCGGGATTGCGGTCTCCCGCTCCTCTCCTCCTTCCTTTTTGGTTGCCGCCCAATGGGGGAAATCTTCCCTTCCTATTTTATCCATTAGCTATTATATATGTGTTATTTTGCTTGTTAGAGTTAGTTTTTGTTGTGTTCTACTTTCAAATTTTCTGTTTGGAGAGTTTTCCCAGTTCTAAGGTTGTATCCAAAGAGGTGGTGGTACTCCAACCATATCCTCCTCCAAGGTGGTGTTGTATTCTTTCTTTTTTGCCATCTCTACTCCTCCCCCCTCCAACAACCGTCAACTTCCCCATCCTTTATCGCCGCACCTAGCCATCCTTCTCCCAACGGCTTACTCTTGTTGTTCAGTTCCCCGAACGTCACCCCGACCTTCAATCTCCTTGTCCCTACAGTCCAACATTGTTGTCCCCCTCCTCAGCCTTC